AAATTGGGGATAAATATGGGCCCCCAAAATCAATGGGCCCAGGGACCGTGCCCTCCTTGGCCCTCCCTTAATCCGGGCTTGTAGGTACCTAATAAATCTAAATACATAAAATCATCTTACTTGGTTTAGGCATCTGTTATGGTTTAGCTTAACTGCGCCAAGACTTATATCAAAATAATTCCTTACCGTAGTCACTTCAACTCAACAACTTTTCTATAAAGCTCAACGGTGTTGAAACATTGAGCTTCATACAGGCCTCCACACGAGTTTTACTCAGTGAGGCCTAGTAATCTTTACCGATATTAAATAAAATAAAAAAATAAATAAATAAAATACAGCTATTTCAGCTCTATGCTTTGAGAGATAGGTATAATCATTAGTTAATAATTGCCTTCATTGTTGATGTGTGTGTCTATGAATCTAAAAAGGTGTAATGGTTTAAATGATTTAATAATTAATGTTGGAAATAAGAAGAACTTATACTTTACAAATTAAAATAAACTAAAGATTAAAAGAAAGTTAAAAAGAATATCGGGAAACTTTTAGGTATTAGAAATTAGAATATAAATATTATTCACGAAAGTAAAATTTTATGTAGATTATAAAAATGTATTTTGAACAAAATTAAAACAGTAATAACATTAATAAGAAAATGAATAACAAACATTATACTATTTAGCCAGCATATCTGGTATTGATATTTTATTATAATATTAAAATGAATAACTTGTTTGAGTAGTACACTAGTACGATTTATATTATGTCTGTGGCCAACACTAGATACTAAAAATTAATACTAAGTAGTTATAGACTATAGCCCTCCACTATAAGGCTGTCATTAAGACCAGCGGGCCCCAGGGCAAACAAAATTTCATGGTGCCTACAGTTTTAGGGTAATTTCGTTTGGTTCTCAATATTGCAATAGTTATTACTTATTATATTATTAGTGTACTATACCCGCATGCGTTCTCTCTGTCTTACAAACGTATAAGTGGTATAACATTGCAAATTGTACGCTCAGCAGTCGGCAGATCGGTTGTAGGAAAAAAAAACCAAGGAAAAAAAAACCACGAAAAAAAAAACCAAAAAATAAAAACCAAAACAAAAAAAACCAAATGAAAAAAAGACTATGGAAAAAAAAACCAAATGAAAAAAAATCCATGAAATTAAAAACCAAATTTTTATATTTTGCTATCATTTTTTTCTGTCATATTTTTGATACCTATTATTATAGAAAATTTCAAATAAATATATTGTCAGTAGAATAAAATACAATATAAAAGTTATGGATACCTCATTGTATAATAGAGAACACGCATTAATAAGTTACCTAATTAATAAATTACATAAAAAATTACAAAAAAATATCTCATCAATTGTCAGTAGAATAAAATATAAATAAAAAAGTTATCGATACCTTATTGTATAATAGAGAACACGCATTAATAAGTTACCTAATTAATAAATTACATAAAAAATTACAAATAAATATCTCATCAATTGTCAGTAGAATAAAATATAAATAAAAAAGTTATCGATACCTTATTGTATAAGAAATTGCAGTTAAAAAGTTTTCAATGTCACGGGTACCTTTATTATAATCTTCCCATAACTTTTTTAATTGGATTTGTAATTTTTTATACACCGTGTTTTGTCGCTTCTGTTGGGGTATACCTAATTCAATTTGGGCCAGCTTAGTTTCATCAGATGCCACTTCTAACCTTATTTTATTTATAATAGTCCATATTGTTGGATGTGTTTGTCCTACTAATTTATACTGAACCTGAGGTTCCAACCTTCTGTAGAATTGTTTGTTCGTTCTTCGTCATTTAAAGTCGATTCATTTACGTTCCATAAATTTGGTGGAAAAATAGGTGGACAATTTCTTAAAACTATTTTATTATTTTCATTTTTAACTTGCCTATACTTGCCATTTACATATGTTTCATCAAAATAATTTAATAAAGATTCAGCCTCCTCAGGAACAATGTTTTTTAAATATGCCATACCATCTTTAACGTCTCCTATGGGTAAGAATGCCAAACCATCCATTTTTCCACAAAATTCAATTAAATTTTGGTTTTCTCTATACTGTGTCTGCAGCCCTATTTTTTGTACTTTTCGATATGTTGATTGTGTCAAATGGTAGAAAAAATCCTGAATATGTACATGTTGACCAAGAACATGTGTGATAGCTGTAATTACTGCACGTTCAAAATCAACATGTACAACCGCAGGATTAGGATATAAATTTTGTTCTTCGCATTTTTTTAAAAGTGTAGTAAGCATCATCTCATAAGTTGATAACGTTTTATTCTGTAGGAGAATGTATACTGCTGTTGTAAAATTTTTATTTATTTCCACACGTATAACATATAGTTGAGAAAACAATTTGGGAGCCAATGCAAAGTTTCCATCCATATACGTATACCATCTCAAAGACTTTGTTAGATTGACAAGCCCTTCATGTGTTGCAAACATTTTATACACACTCATATAGGTACATACACACACCCCAACAATACTTTCCTAAAACATAGTACCTATACAATTATTTACAGTTTATACTTTATACTTATATTCTATTCTACTGACAAAATATTTATTTGTAATTTTCTGATTTATTAACTAACTCATTAATTTTTGTTCTTTATTATACAACAGACAGAATACCTAAAATATGATAGCAAAATATGAAATTTGGTTTTTATTTTCATGGTTTTTTTTCTTTTGGTTTTTTTTCCGTGGACTTTTTTTCATTTGGTTTTTTATGTTTTGGTTTTTATTTTTTGGTTTTTTTTTTCGTGGTTTTTTTTTTCCTTGGTTTTTTTTTCCGCACGCCCGGCAGATCACGTTTACCTATGTTAGTTTAAAAAAAAACACATACTTACATCATTGTAAAATCAATACCTAAGTAAATAGCATCGCTCAGAATCAAAAAGGTATTGGTACAATAATGTATAACTATAGCGTTAACCATCGTAAGCTGTTGTTTTGATTTTTGAAAAAATTATTTTACTAGGTATACAAACTTTTTTCTACATTAGTAAAATGTTTCATGTTTGTGTTTTAGGTGGTTTATTTAAATTTAAAAATATTATATATTATTTGTAGCAAAGACCTATAAATATTAGTATATAGATACAGAAATCGCACTCCTAGAACAAGACTGCCACAACTCAAAATTCATGAATTTTGAGTTATGACTACTTTTGGATAGAGAAAAATAAGCTCTTTTAAATGCAAGAACGCCACATTCAATATCATTTTTCATTTAGCCACTATAGAGATGTGTCTGTATTGAATTATTTAAATATTGGTTAATTTTCAATGCAAGAGAGCCATAATTTACTTTATGGCAGTATACTTATTTTTATTTATCCAAATTATCACTGAAGTCAAAATTTAAGACTGCCTTATTTCGACTTGTGGCGTTCTTGCACTGAATAAAAACTAATTATCGTGTAATATGTTGAGTGCAAAACAGCAATATTTAGAGTTGTGGCAGTATTGCATTTTATAATTTGTGATAGTGCAGCCACAACACGAATTATGACTCTATTGTATTTATAAATAGAATAGCTTTTCGTTTTGCGCCAAATTCTCATATAGTCGCATCTCAAAATATGGCAGTCTTGCATTTACTTAAAAAATTGTAAATGGCCACAAGTCTAAATTTTTGGGTTTAAGAGTGAATTTCAAAATATTTGAAAAATTAATATTGTAAAGTATGGTTGTAAGTATTTAAGTGTTAAATTTCAAACGCATAAGTAAAAAATTCATTAAAATATCTTAAGTCCAAACTTCAAATTGATTTTTCTCAAAACTATAAATTTTGAGTTGTGACAGTCTTGTTCTAGGAGTGCGAAATACAGAATTATGATTTATAATAATGCAGTAGATATCTATTTGTAGATAGCAGTACGCAATTTTAACAAACAATTGGTGGTAAGCGATAGCGCTTTGTGCTACACACACGACGTAGATTGTTGTCTGTAGATTATATACATCATGGATAAATGCCTATATTATCTACACAAAGTAGAACAGTCCTGTCGTATAGGCATATTGCCTTGGTTGGGTTTGTCGGTATGTGTGTTATCTGAAGAGTGCATACAACTATGTTTCGAACTTAGATAATATTAATATAATATTATGAAATGAGGACATGAGGTTATGACTATAGAATATAGGTGTTATACATATCAGATCCAATTCTGTGAACTTAGTACAATGGTCGATCTAAGGTTGCAGACACAGACCAACAGTGAACACAGACCAAGATTAAAAGGATTGGAAGCGGTGATTTTCTGTTATTGGCCTTTGCCTAACCCACGTGGAACATAGGCATTTAGATGTGTTTTCATTCTAACGTACCAAATACTTACCAATATTGATCAAGTGAAAGGCGGTGAAACTATAAGAATTCAAAAATCCAACATTTTTGATTTTATTCCCCAAAATCCTAAAAAACATCGTACTATAAAAATGGAGAGGAATATTTTAATTTTTGGAGAAGTCTAAATCAAAAAATGAAACTCTGAGAAAGTCGATCTTAAAGTAGACTTGACGAAAAATTCTAATTTGTTTTTTGAATTCTCATCGCTTCTCTAGATCAATCGGTACGTCGGAACGAAAACACGTCTGAATTCCTATGTTCCACGTGTGTTAGACAAAGACAGAAATTACCGCTTCCAATCCACTTATACGACTGATAACTGTTATCTAGTACTGTTCTGACCATATATATATAATATTATATATAGTAATAGAATGTATTATAATATGGTTCCGACTATTGTTATTGTACTTTTAAAACGCCGCGAAATACGTTGACGTTATCACTACTCGCGTATGTGTAAGTGTGTATAATAATGATATTGCTTTATGTGTATGCGACGAGTGGTCGATTCAAGACTCAATAATTGACTATTTTAATATTTTATATATAAATTGACTTTTTCATGTTTTTATAAACATCAGCGGGGAAAATCCTAATTATGAGCTTTCTGGCTGCCGTGTTGGCCTCCGCAGGTACGTCGTCGTCTGGTTTTTTTTTTGGTGTCGTATTTATGGTCACACACAGACCGTTTTAAACATATTTTGTTGTGTATCTTTTAATAATCGTTGTGTTTGTTGTTGTTGATGCTGCTGAATGCTGCAGGCGAGGTAGAAATGACGGACTTGGACAAAAATGTATCTGAACTCAAACACAAAATCACAAACCTCGAATATGACATCAAGGAAGCAATGGAACAGCGTTACATGAAATTCGCAGTGGTGTCCAAGGACGCTGCATCGTTGCTAGATACGGCCCAGTCATATTCAAACCAAATCAACAACCTAATATCACGAATCGACAGTCAGGTAAACTAGAAACATACATATTATTTTGCTTACTGTATAGTGTATTATTAAACGTTTTCTCTCTATTTCTAGACTAAAAGAGAAGTCGTAGACGCTATGTCTGATCTGAAAATGTTTAAATCTACTTTGGAAGAAAACAAAAACAGTTTGATTGTTATAGAACAAGTTCTGGAAGCAAGCATGAATCTAACAAATGATAGTCAAACTGAACTATCATTAGCTGACAGAATAAACAAGTTACAAACTGCTCAACACATTTTATTAAACAATGAGCATTTAACAAAATTAGATGTGTATAAACCGTTAATGCGAGAACACCAGAGACTAACAGATGTCCTTCACTCAAACTGTATAGCAGCCTGGGGAAAAAAAATAGTATGGTCGGAGAATGATAAGGAGAGCCAAGACTCATGGAAAGTTATTTTAAAAATATCTGGCTGTCCGGATGATATTTGTGATACTGTGTTCGCATTGCAACATTTTGACAGTCTGAACATTGAAGTCAAAAAATTTTCAGATAAACTAATAAATTTAATTGTGAAACCAATTATTGATCAAAACTTACAAGTTGATGTGGCAAAATTTGTGAATGTTTCAACATTGACTCTTAAAGTTTCCAATACTGAAGATGAATTTCTGTCAGCAATTATAAAAAAACTCAAGGATGTATTTGAATTTTTGAATTCAACTCTTCCTGCTGACATTAATGAAATCAAAATTATGTCTTATTTAGGATCTTATGCAAGTCAGCAATTTTGTAAACATTTTAAAGAAATAGTAATATTTAATGCCATACCAGTTAAATATCATAATCTTAAAAATTTTAGAGAAGAATTGATTGAAGTTTGTGAATTCAACGAATATTTAAGTGAATTAGGTAATAAAATTATTTATTTTATATTATAAAAAATACCCTTGCGTTTGTGTATAACTTGTTGATTTTTAGGATTTTTTGAAGAATCAAATGATGAATTGATAAATTACATTGAAAATATTGATAATTTATTTTTCACAAAAGTTAGTCAATTATACTATGATAGAGCAAGAACTATTATAAAGAAAGATCTACATGATTTAGTCGAAGTGAACAATGTAAGATATTTTAGTTTTCTTTTAATATAACCTATGTAGTATGATGTATATTAATGTAGTATTAATATATCTAGTAATTTTTTTCCTTATAGGAAAACAGATGGTCTTCTGATGAAGAAGTCCCAGATGATAACGGGTTTTGCCAAAAAATTTTTGCATATCCACAAAGTAAAGTGAGGTAAATTGATAGTTAATCATTTAAATTATTACTTATCTTATATCATAGTAAATAACATTAATTTATGTCATAAAACTTTATTGGTGCTTAAACCCCAGAGCAAACATAAAGTTTGTTTCCATAGAGAGCAGCACACTCATTTAAATGATACATTCTTAAAATCAAAATATTCTCTTTATACACAATTTAATAAATATGTTATTTGAAATATTTAAATTGTAACAAAAACTATAACATAGAAACTCAAGTTTTCCAATACATGGGTTGTAAATTATAATGGTTTTAACATTTAACACGTTCACTGCGTATGTCTTTTTGCAGTTTTCACCCAGTGCGTATGATAAAAGTAAAAACAAAAGAAATTAAAAAAAAAATATAAAGAAACTGCTCATACATATTTAAAAACATGCGTTTAATCCACGCTAAATAATAATAAAATAACATTCAGCCACGCGTAGGGAATTTTAAACCATTTATTTTAAATGTATATTAGACGCCATATGGCGTCAAACGCGTTGCTGAATGATACTTATGACGCCAATTGGCGTCAGTACGCAGTGAACGTGTTAAATTGTATACTAATATGATATTATATGCACATACCTAAATTAAAAATAATTTGTTTTTCAGTACATTAATTTTTTCTACACCCCATTGGCCCATAAATACCTATCTAAATATCTAATATATTCTGTAGTGTAGCCCCCCACTTAAATGTGTTTGGAAAATTAGCTGGAACCCCTCCATAAAAAATTCCTAAATACACAATTGTTTTGCATCAATTGAAATATACAATACAAACAAGATTTTTAAGGAAGAAATTGGAGAGTTTCGATACGTATTGAATCAATTTTGAGTGTTCAAGAAGTTGCAACGTTCAGTATACAAGTACCAATCACTATCGGACTCAGACTTTGATACGAGTCAGTACATAACTTTTCTTTATCGAAACGTACTAAATTTTTCTTCTTGAAAATCTTGAATGTATAATTAAATATTATTAATGTAATCTGTAACCAATGGCAACCATTTAAATAAACAATAAAATATTTGATTTTTGTAAGCCAAAACTAAATTTTTCATATTATTATATACAGAGTATATCAAAAGTCTTCATTCAATTTCAAAAAATATATTTATTTAAAAAATGATGAAGGGTTAAATTTTTTTTTAAATTCTTTATAAGGGTTAAATAAAGTAAAATATATTCTTAATATAGGTAAGTATCAGTCAAGCATTAATACATGGGTCTCTAACTTGAAATTAACCGTTGCCGAACTATATCAGTTTGTTATCGGATGAAGACTTGAAACACCCTGTACATGATGTATTGTGTACAACATTTGGTGGAGATATGACCGATTGACCCTCATATCAGATTCAACCGTAGAGTGGCTGAAAAATTAAGCTATAAATTTCCTGAAGTCTTAAAGAATCTATTGATATAACTCTTATTGAAAACGGTCCAGTAGTTTTTAAGTCTTAAGAAGACAAACAAAGAAACATTTATTTTCATGTATATGTATAGATGGATTATGAATTTAATGATGTAATATAAATAATTATTTTTTTCAGTAAATCATTATTAGAATTTCTAGATCTTATCGATACAGTAGCCTCAGAAATGTCTACCATACCAGAAAATAGTACTTGGAGATATCATGATATTTTAAACAACATAACAATTATGTATTGTGATGTGATACCGCTTCAGCATTGCAAAGTGCTAGAATTTCATCCTCAGCAATCTGGTATATAAATTATCGATTATTGTACAATTCTCTATATAATTTAATTTTATAATTTTTTTTTATACCCTTACAGCTGTTCTTTACAATAACATTATGTATTTTACTCGAAAATTGGCTGAATTAAGTCCAACTTACAAGAACTTGCTTATTGTTCACTTGCTTGAAAAGCTAAAAAATTTAGCTAGTGAAATACTCCACTCTCAATGCAAACAGCAAATTGCACAAATTGAAAAAATTGTCAATCAATCTGGTAAGAATTGTTATAAAAAATTATTTTATAACATTATTTTGTGTTGATTTAAATCCATTGGAATCTATTATATTTTTTCATGTATGATTATAATTTAATAAAATACATAAAACTTGTATATTAGACTAATACATATATCTTTTTCAGATATTATTTTGATGGCTGTAAATGCAAATTTAGGTTATTCTGTTGAAAAAAGTATGTCACAATGTTATGATCTTTTGTCAATCCTGAGTGATTTGTGGAGAGATATTTTGCCGTCAACTGTTTACTGTAAATTTATAGGTAAATACATAAAATTATGTTATAACATTAAATTGGTCTAAAAACAAATCTCTTTATAGATTTATTTTATTTTTAGGTTATTCTTGTAATGGATTATTTGAGTGTGTTGTTAATAAACTGTTCACCTTAGAAGACATATCAGCTACTTCAGCCGAACAGTATTCATCCATTTTCAACAAAATCATCAAAGATATTCCATCTTTTTTTCCGGTATTTTAAATAGAATGAAAATATAATATAATATAATCATATATATATTTTGTATGATTGATTTTAGGAGCCCAAAGAAGTTCATAGATACGTTCCTAAATGGTGGCAGTTAAATGAATTAGTATATATATTGAGTTCGAGTATGAAAGATATTGAAAATCGCTGGGCAGATGGGAAAGGTCCATTGGCTAATGAATTAAAGGTTGATCAAATAAAATGCTTGCTGAAAGCTCTATTTCAAAACACTGATAGAAGAGCAGCATTACTCAAACATATTATAGCTACTGCACAATCGTAGTGAACTAAAAATAAATATTATATAATTACGTCATTACCAATTTTACTTGAATATTATACAATTATGAAAATATTTTTTATAAAATGTTATAATTGATAATCATAACTTTTGAAAATTAAAATTATTGTTGAAGAATATACTCTGTTTAAAAATCTAGAAGTTATGTATTATTACTAATTGTACTATAAAATATAACTATAAAAAAATAAGTAGAAATCAATTACATTTTTTTAATTATACATTTTAATAATAAAAACCTGAGTTGTATTATATATTACATCATAATATTATAATCTATATTCTACAATATAAAATTTGTTGCTCTGATTAACAAAAAAATGTAATTTAATGTCATTTAGAATTAAAATGAAGGAGTCTATCAATGGATAAGCACTCCGAATCTAGGAACAAAAAGTCAAGTAAAAACGACAAATTGAAAAAATTTCAAATGCATTTTACTTGAAAATCACAAATTAATATAAAGTTAATTATAAATAAGTAAATAATCATAAGTCATAACAAAGATATTAAATCTCAAATATTGTTTAGTACCTATTTATAATACGTACCTAAGTAATATGTTATAGCTGTTAAAAGCTTGTTGTAACTCTTTCCTTACTTAAATATTCTTTTAATTAAAAATCAAGAATATAAATACACATATTTTTATGATTAAATTTTTATCGATAAAATTGTATTGATCGCAGACCGCAGGTATCATTATATCAAATTAACAAATTCAAGTTAGTACCTATTTATAATTACATCAGCACGACTATCCAAAGTGCAAAAAATGTTTGTTTATATTTCAAAGATCGTGCACAAGCGTGTTTTCGGATTTCTGGAGGTATTTAAAAATAAATACAGTAGAAGCATATAGATCTAGTTTATAGGTCTATCAATTGAAGCCGCTTATAGAAACACGGATGATCGGTACAATCGCGTATTCGAGTTATTGACACAAAATATCCGGGGACGGACCAGTTGTAAATTAGAACCTTCTAATCTATACAATGTGTCCCGGGGGTGAAGTGACCGGTCGACGTCATATGAAAGTATACCCAAAATGATGAAGAAATACCCTTTAAAGAGTGGGTCTGACTTTTTTATTTTTTAAGTTATGGGCAGTTAACTTTTTATCAAAACCAAACTATCACACATATTTTGTTTCTTCAAAACTAATCAACATTTTGACGTAATTTTTTTTTTATCTTAAAGCTATCTAAGTGTTCTATCAACCAACGTACGCAATTAAACCAGAAATGTACAAATTTATTTTTATTAATTTGAAAAAGTAATTATTTTTATCAAAAATTTATATTTTTAAAAGTAAATCGCGTATAACTCCAAAAAATGAAGTATTTATAATGGGTTTTTTTCTTTTTTTTTCCTTTGTATTATTCTGTAAAATAACAACACTACGTCACAATAACAAAAATGTACCGAAGAAAATAAAATTTAACGATTAACGACCGATACTCGATTTTAAGAACATCAAGATTGTAACGACAGCTCATAATTCTGCAATCGTGGAAGATACTAAAACCAAACTTTTAATTTATTCTAGGTATTATTCAGTACAATAATACAATAAGCAAAATACTACATTTTTCGGAGTTATACTCGATTTACTTTTAAAATAGGTGATCTGCTGTACAGACTACTGTACTGTACAGTAGGTTCCAAGTGGGTCACTGTATAATGGATAGTATTAACACAGATTATATGTTTTCATATAATCTGTGGTATTAAATTTGAATTCAATGATAATATAATATCATTATTCATTGTATAAGAAAAACGATTCTGATTGGAGACTGTGTCAGTCTAGGTATAAGACATATTATATACTGATCTATCTCGTATTAAAAAAAGGTAGGTACCTACCTATAATAAATTCCAAATTAATCATATCACAATATCTATTAGGTACTTATAAGTTATAATGCATTATACGTCAACAAACCCTGATACTATCATAGACCATACTCCATAGATATATAATAGTGTACTTTAGAAGTTTCAAGTACCCACGAATAATATCATACAATCACACCAAAATAACTAAAATAGTTATTCTAGGTTTTTTATAATGTAATTTCGTCCAAATTTGAACTTAAAATGACTAAAAAATAAACTGTCCTTCTGTATTTTTTAAATTTTTTTGGTAACAGAATAAACTACTTATGTGGAATATTGTTTTAAATTTTCAATCCTTGGATATAAAAGTTGAATATTTTATAAATTTTTAACTACCTACAAAATAATTATTCAATTTTAAATTTGATAAATTTTGTCAAAATTCGATCTTTAAATGCTTATAAAAATAATTCTATGTATTTTTAATATTTTTCAATTGCTATTGTAACAATATATCAGGAGCCTTGTATTAAATTTTCAAGCTTTATCAACCAACAATGAAAATGGAAAGTGAAAATGTCGCTAAAGAGTTCAAAATAAATCAAAATATTTTAAAAATGTTATCGTGTATAGAAAATGCAAATACAAACAACCAGTGAAAATTGCATGTATATACGTTAATTTGTTTTAGAGTTACACCAAAAACCAAAGTCGATTTTTTGGAAAACCTATTTTGCGTAAAAATGCCCGCTTTTCCTTAATTTGTATGTTGTTTTTCCTGGCGCTTGTGAAAACTACTATGAACCTTACTTTACTTTTGACCCCCAAAGTACCAACTAGATTCACTTTCCTATCGGCTATCAGAAAAGCTACTGTTGAAGAAAATCCAAGCACTTTTACTGTCCTAAAACGTCATTTCACCCCGGGACATATTGTATATATAAAAATGAATGTAGGTATGTGTGGGTGTGGGTGTGTGTATGTGTGTCCAATGTCCATATGACCATGGCAACCAATTATATATTTTGAAATTTCCGATGGAATGTTTTGCATATAAATGGTTGCCATGGTGATATGCAAAACATATTATTCATAAAGAGTTTGCAATTTGCATGGGCAATGAAGTGCACGAGATCAGATATTTTTATATATATAGATAGATTAGACCTCTGTGCAGAAGATAGGCTAATTTAAAAAGGGAGAGGACCAACTCCGGGATTTTGAGATTTTCTATGGACATTTTTGTTTATAAATGGTTGCAATGAATTTTGAAGCTATTGTAATAATAATTATTGGTTGCCATTGGTTTAAAATTGTTATTATGGTAACAGTTAAATTTTTAAAAAAAACATATTATTCATATAGACTTGGCATTTTTAATAGGAAACGAAGTGCACGGGACGTCGGGACCTGCAATCAGCTAGTAATAATTAATAATTATAATAATTAATACAAGTCACAAGATAATAATATATTACCAATTATTTAATTTTTAAAAATGTCGGCAGTTATCTTCATTTTGTAATCGTTCTTACAGTGCAGGTCGCCGTGCGTAAACATGAATTCCGTTGTCACTTAGAAGGACACACTGTCAACGGCGTTGAATTGATAATCATATGTTTTAGGCGTTGATAACGATTTTTCCAATTTTCCTGTGTACTTTCAGTCCTTGGAGCGTGCACTCTAAATTTTTCATCGACTACGTAAAGGTTGTAGCCTGTAGGGACTTTTCAAAATGGCATCTCGATTATTAACCATCCAAACGCCTTTGAAGGCCTTCACATTGAAATCGGGAGTCACTCAGGTAAGTGCTGAACAAGGTGCACAGATAATATGGAAAATGCTCGTCTCGGAACTGACATAGTTTTGCACAGGTACCCAATTGCTGGAAGTCTACTGTGGCATCGTGTGTCTCTCCCCGTGTGAACGTACCAGAGACAAAGGTCACCACGCTAGAAAATGGTATGCGAGTGGCCACGGAAGACAACGGTTCTCAAACGGCGACCGTTGGGTTGTGGATCGATGCCGGCTCAAGGTGGGAAACTGCAAGCAATAATGGTGTAGCCCATTTCGTTGAACATATGCTATTTAAGGCAAGTACACTCATATAAATACATCTATTGTTTTTCCTAACCTGTAGGGTAATTTCTATAGGGCACACCAACGAGATCACAGACTGCCCTTGAATTGGAAATTGAAAACATTGGAGCGCATTTAAACGCATACACTTCTAGAGAACAAACTGTCTTTTATGCCAAATCCTTAAAAAGCGATGTACCTAAAGCTGTTGAAATTTTGTCCGACATTCTTCAAAACTCTAATTTTGGTAAGTTAAAATATTTAGTTGAAATAGATACTAGATGTGTTTTCATAATGAAGTCACTACAAGAGTTATTAAATATCATTTTTATCAATACTGCACTTTCCTAGTACATCAATAATCAATGTCTGTAATATTTCATAATTATTTACCTTTTACATAATTTTCTATTTAAATGACCTGTTTTTTTTTTTTATTTAAAAATTATTTTAAATTGAAATCTATAATTTTAATGTTATATTTGGAAATGGTTAATTTTTCTAGTTATCTGTTATGTATAAATAACAAGTAACAAAGTAATATTATTTTCATTCTTAAACCAGATAGGATACAATATTTCTTTCAAAACTTGACTGGAATAATAAAATATTGATGATATTGTATAAATACTAAATTGAAATATTTTATATTAAATCAGATTTATAAAATGGCATTTAATTCTAATAGTATTAATTTATATTAACATTTTTAATTCAATTTAAATTAAAAAGTAATAATATGATTTGATATGTTGATATCAATCAACTTATAATAAACAGTATAATTGTTTGACGTGATTAATTTTGTAATTAATAGGAGAAAATGAGATTGATAGAGAACGCGGAGTGATTCTTAGGGAAATGCAAGAAGTTGAAACTAATTTACAAGAAGTTGTATTTGATTACTTGCATGCCACTGCTTACCAAGGAACACCTTTAGGTCAAACAATTCTAGGACCAACTGAAAACATAAAGTAAAATAAAAATTGTTTTTATTAAAAATAATTTGAAATAATTTTGTATTTATTGATTTCAGTTCCTTGAAACGTAAAGAACTTAAAGAATATGTAGACTTGTTCTACAGACCATCTCGTCTTGTATTGGCTGGTGCTGGCGGAGTAGACCACGAAGAATTGGTTTGTCTTGCCAAATCATTATTTAAAAACCCAACAAATTTGAACATGGATGCTGATGTACCTCATTACTCTAAGTGCAGATTCACTGGTACAAATACTCCCAATTTTAGAGTTATTTAAAATGTATTAATATGTTCTTATATGATTAACTTATTTTTAAAATTATTTCAATCTAGGTTCTGAAATCAAAGCCCGCGATGATTCCTTACCCTTGGCGCATGTTGCAATTGCAGTTGAAAGCTGTGGTTGGGCTGATGCTGATAACATACCTTTAATGGTAGCCAATACCATAATTGGATCATGGGATCGTTCTCAGGGAGGTGGTAACAACAATGCCAATCGTTTGGCCCGCTTTGCTGATTCATTAGACCTATGCCACTCTTTCCAGTCATTCAACACTTGTTACAAAGATACTGGTTTGTGGGGAGCGTACTTTGTATGTGATAAAATGAAGATTGCGGTAAGTTAATATACTGTTTAAACATCACTTAAAAACGAGATTGTTCAACTTTAGGAAATTTAGTTTTAGGTTAGTCAATTTATTTCATTAGCCAAGAACCACTAATGGGTGGCTGCTTATTCAAAATAATCATGTTCTATAATTACTCTTATCATATAAACTTATTATGCTTCAAATAGTATAGATTGTTTATGCCAAATAAAAATAAAAAAAAAAAAGGTTAGTCAATTTAAAAGATATATTTTTGATTTATTTGTTTTGTTAGGAATTTACTTTCCATTTACAAGAAGAATGGATGAGATTATGTGCTTCTGTGACTGATGCAGAGGTAGAACGCGCCAAGAACGTTTTGAAAACAAACATGTTATTGCAGTTGGACACATCTACCCAAGTATGCGAAGATATTGGTCGTCAATTGTTATGTTATAACAGACGTATACCCCCTCATGAGTTGGAAGCTCGTATCAATGTAAATATATTATTATTTTATATAAATCACCATTAATAATATATAATTCAAACAATTGTTTTTTTTTTTTTTCTAGGATATTAGTGCCAAGAACATTCACGACATCGCAATGAAATATCTGTTTGATAGGTGTCCAGCTGTTGCTGCTGTAGGTCCAGTAGAACAATTGGTTGATTACAATAGGTTGAGAGCTGCTATGCGTTGGGTAGTTTTGTAATTTTGCCAGCATAAATTCTTTTGTTTTCATTCATACCACTTATTATGCCGTTTCTGAAGTACCATTTTACTCTATTCAACTAATCTGTTAAACCCATTTTTGATTTATCGATGTACAAAATTATCAAACATTTTTATATTCATATAATTCTGTACGATTTTGTTTAGAGACGGTGTTAATTGTATTTCTGTTGATTAGGACAATATTAAATACAAATATATATAATTTGTTTTTTTTAATTTTGTTTTTTTCCTCTCATTTACATACATTGTAGCAGGTAATCACTTACTAGTGAATAATATTAATTAGTTATAGCATTGATTATAAATACTATAGATCGCCCACTGGCTCGTATTTATGCGGCTCGAAAAATGGATTTGGCTGTTATTATGAAGCTCTGTTGTAGCCCATAAGTAACTAAAGGTTTATCTCTATACATACCAAAAATGATTTATTGAAAACTATGAGGACTTATCAAACTGCCTCCGCCTTCTCTTATGTACAGAAAACTAAAAATTATTCTATACATACCTCTTCACCAAATGATATATTTCATGATACAAAGTAACTAACGATTTTTAATATTTTTCATCTGTCTTTGAAACAATATAGTAGGAGCCTTGTATTAAATTTTCAAGTATTTTTACTCAACAAATAAATTTTTATTGATATTCATAAAAAAAAAAACTAATAAAATTGGAAACTGAAAATGTCCCTAAACAGTTCAAAATAAATCAAAATATTTTGAAAATGTTACCGTGTATAGAAAATGCAAATATAAACAACCACTGAAAATTTCATGTTTTTCGGTAATTTGTTTTAAAGTTACACCAAAAACCAAAATCGATTTTCTCGAAAACAGATTTTGCGTAAAAATTCCCGTTTTTCCTTAATTTTTCTTTTGTTTTTAACGGCGCTTTTGAAAACTACTGGGAAATTTGACCTCCCCAATGCACCAACGATATTCATTTTCCAATCAAACAAGATACTGAAGTTGAAAATCGAAGCATTATTTCGACTACTTATCGTGTACACAGACAAAAAAAAAAATAAAAAAACACAGATCATTGTAAAATCAATACATTCATCGTTCCACTCAGAATCTAAAACTGCATGACAATTGGATAAGATGTTTCGAAGTCAAACAGTAACAAAGATTTCCTCTTTTGCTTGATTTCAGTTTTATATATATATAGATACTTATACAATTTTATGTAGATACCACTGAATTACTAAACTATGACGTTTGATATAGGTCCAGTACAGGATTGGCGTCACTGTGAACTAAAATCTCTTCACACAATCATTAGACCTATAAACTAATTGACAGCGCATTCCACTCTGCTCTGCTAGGTGATTATATAATCATATAACTGAGAGAGAAAGAATATTAAGTAGTAAAAAAGCCCACCTAAGGATCTGTATAAATGGTACTACTTTGTTTCTTTTCTCGCTCACTATATCTTACCTCTGACTTCTAAGTTCTCACTTCTCTCTCTAAGCGCTTTCCATTAGTTGACACAATCCTTCTATCTTAAGTTAGGGGTTTCTCTACTGGGCCTTCCTTAAACTACTGTACTTATCAAATTTCCACCAAGCATGTCTGGCCCTGATTAATCTTTTCACTGTTGATTAATTTGTAGCACATGGTAGTTGGAGTTCTTCATTCGCATTGAGTGTTTTTCTACGGGCTATATAAATATTACACTCCTAAACATTTGAATTGTGGCACTATTAAAAATATGATATTTTACTTCTAGCATCTCTCATTGAGGAACCCCTATTGTCTTGGCTAAGTTCTATGTATTTAGTTTTTCATCATTAATTATTAGATCAACTTTGCTTTCATTATTTCAAAAAGTATTAATTTGTTAACAATTTTAGAACAAATCAATACTTTTAAATATTTTTCATCCTTATTATTTATTAGGTAAACCACTATATCCCGTAATTACGTGGTAATTTAACAAGTTATGATTATTTTAAAAATGAATTATAATTGTATGTAAATTCCTTAGTAAGAATGACACTACACTTTCTTTCGTCTTGTTCATATACATTATACCTAGATACCTAACATTTTATTTTGTAATTTTTCTACATGGAGTTCGACAAAATGTTTTTGTTGTGATAAAAATAAATATTATTTTTAAAGTAACAACTTAACTCAAAATCATACAATATCATTATTAGTTAATAACAAAAATAGTATAATATCAATATAATATTGATTATTATTTATTATAAATATAAATCTATATATATATAAAAATGGAGCCAAAAATATTGTATAACAATATTCATCAATTGAGAACGGCTGGTCTAATTTGTCTCAATTTTTTTTTAAGATGTTCCTTATTGCCAGGAGAAGGTTTTTACGAAAGACAATTTTTAAAAAGTCAACCGAATAATTAGAAAAACTGCAAAAACTATTCATTGATGTCTGGGATTTTTGAACTCAATACCATTGTCTTTAATTACTCTATGGTAGACGTAGACATCTCCGTGGTAATTAATACTGATGTATTATTTATTATTATTTATCAGCTCGATGTACAATCAATATAATCTATGGTTATTGGTTTCTATAGTTATTTTATAGTTTTGTGTTCATTACTTGGTTATTATTATTAGTTTATTATTACGACTTCATTTTCCATTTCCAGAAAAACTGCGCGAGTACAATTTTATTTTATTTTACTAATTAGCAATCACTTAAGCCCCGTTCACACGATCAAATAATTTGTCAAATATTTGATGCATGTCAAACTTCAAATATTTTAGAAATTAATTACTTTATTTCTGCAATATTGAATGAGCTAAGACAATGTGCAGGTGTTAAAACTTCCTACTCAATAAGAATAAATCATCTGGTTAATCACAACAAGAATAATTAATAGCAACAATAAAAAAAAAACCTATTTTGATCAATACTAAATAAAAAGTATAATATAAAATATTCATTTAATTTAATTTACTATGTCAATAATCAAAATCATTATTTTGGACAGTAGAATAAATTTAATAACCAAGGAAAAACATTATTAATAATCACAGCAATATAATTTATTTGTGTAAAGTTTTACTTTTTTTTAAACTTTTTGGATTTATTAGATTTATTTCTACCAATATTCTTCTTCCTCACTCCCATTGCGCCTTCTTCATCATCGTCAAGGTCTCTCTTACCTTTTTTATCTCCCATATCTTTCATATTCTGTAATTTTAAATACAATTTATTTTATAAATAGGTATAAAAACTCTGAGATTAGCAATATTAACCATTTTGGCCAGTCTTTGAGCTTCGGACACACGTTCTTGTAGACACATTACTTCATCGTCCTCAACTTGATATAATGGCAACTTTTTGCTAATAAGTTGTTCTATCCTTTGATACAATTCAATGTCGTACTAAAAACAATAAAATAATTTTAAGATTCAATATAAAAGATCAATATTTGTACACCTGATGACAGAACTAATTTTTTTTTTTTGGAAAGTGGCTATTGGCGCAGTAATTATTTAATTGATAACGACACCATGTAGTCAATATTCATAATAAAACTGAAAAATCAGATATTTGATACAGCCACTCCTTTAAAAAGTTGTGACATGCAAATAGTAAATAGAAAAAATTGATCAAATTATCACCATACTATCCCAAACTTGTGAATAGAAATAATGTTAATAGAAATAATTTACCATTATTATAGAAAAGTGTTCCATATTATTCAGATAACATAGTAAGAGAATTTATATTATTCCAAAAAAAATGTATCTATAGATATTGTATTGTAGAACTAATATTTACAGTGGTCTCTGAAATTATTATTTATTATATTTAAGAGGACGTTACACCGACATTTGTTGTCTCCGTCTTATAAGTGCGTAACATAGTGAATTGTACGTTCAGCCGAACACATTAGTCTAAAAATTAGAGTGAACTGACCTCATATAAGATTTAAAGGTCAGAATATTATCATAGGGTTTATTTTATATTTAATTTTAAAGCCAGTTACGAGTATTTAAAAATGAATCACAAACAATTTACAATTTACTAAAATACTCAAAACTTGCTTTAAAATTAAAATATAATAAAAAACCTACAAAATAGCCTAGATAATAATCTAACCTTTAAATTTTTTAAGAGGTCAATTCACTATAGTTTTTAAGCTAACAGAGCTAAACATGTTCTGCTGAGCATACAATTTGCTATGTTACGAACCTGTAAGACGGAGACAGCAAATGCCACTGTAACATCCTCTTAATAATGCAATGCATTAAAAGAAAAAAAATTAAGAAGGGAACATTCTAAATCAGTATTATTTTAGTTATAAACATTTTTTTAAGTAAAAAGTGAACTTAATACAAAATTGTATAAAATAAACTGTTGGTGTTTAATAAAGTAATAATAAAGTTTAAAAAAGTTTAATATAGGTACTATTTTTGTTATAAAGTTTTAATTCTTTTCCTCAAATCTATCATTTATGGTTATTCTTAAATGCTTCAATGACTAGCTTTAGCTGTTATAATCTGTATGATAATAAGAATATTATTTAACATAATCAATAAAGTACCTGAGTCACAAGTGTAATAGCTTTTCCTGATCTTCCAGCTCTGGCAGTTCGTCCAACTCTGTGAATGTAATCTTTACTGTGAGTAGGCATGTCAAAATTGATTACAACATCAACATGTGGAATATCCAAACCTCTGAATTATTGAAATTTAAAAAATAATAATTGAGAATAAAAATCTTTCAATAAATATATAAAGCAGATACTAACCTACTGGAAACATCAGTTGATATAAGTATTGATCTAGATTTTGATTTAAATTTATTCAGCGAGGCCAGTCGCTTATTTTGTGTCATCTGACCATGCAATGGTATGGCGTCCAAACCCAAATTTCTGAGCAAAAGAGCTACACGAACAGTTCCATTGCAAGTGGCCATAAATACCATAAACGAATTGCCAGCCATTTCATTTAATATGTGTACTAAATATACGTCCTGTAAATAAACATTGCATAAAAACAAAAATACCAAACAAACACACTAAGTAAAATTAATAATTATAAATGTTTACTTTGTATTTTACAGGAATGAAAATGTAATATTGTTGCAGCTGTTCAACTGTTTGGAATTTTGTAGACACTTCTACCCTCACAGGATCAACCAAAGATGCCCGATGCAGCTTTTGTACTTTTTTAGTCATTGTAGCAGAAAATAAAAATGTGCGCCTTTCTCGAGGAATGACTTTTAAAATTTTGTCAACTTCTTCTTCGAAATCCATGTTTAAAATTCGATCAGCTTCATCCATAACCTATTCAATGTAAATGATAAATAAAAATGTTACAATCAGAGTATCATAAATGGTTACTTACAAGCACTTTTAAATTTCGTAAGCTAAATCCTTTGGTGTTTTCGAGATGATCTACTAGACGACCAGGCGTTGCTATAATAATATGTGGTTTTTTGGCCAACATCAATGATTGAGCCATCATATCCATGCCACCAACAATAACGGCACATTTAACACCAATACTCGATCCTAATTAAAAAAAAAAACAATTATTAAAATTTGTAGTACCTAAATTAATAACAGCACAATTAATATTATTTGCCAGTATTTACCTAGGGCTTCTATTTGCTCAGATATTTGGAAGGCAAGTTCTCTCGTTGGTGTTAAAATGAGAGCAAAATATCTTTGAGGGTTTTCTAATAGTGCTTGCAAAATAGGAATGGCAAAGGCGCCTGTTTTTCCAGACCCAGTCTCGGCCAGTCCGATAATGTCTTTGCCCTGCAAAGCTACTGGAATAGCTTCTTTTTGTATTTTTGTAGGAGTTTTCCATTTTAATGTTTCGCAAGTTTCACACAATACGTCAGTCACACCCTATAACAGTGACATTAAAAAAATAAACGTTTTATTTTATAGTTGTGATTTAGTACCTCGTATAATACTGAAAGACATAATTTGTACTTACCAAATCTTTGAAAGTGACCAATTCCTGGTCGTCGTCATCGTCGTCAAGTTTTTTGGATTCTTCGGAACTCATACTTACAATTTATTATTCTATGATCTTGTGAATCAGCGACAGAGTTACCTATAAATTATAATTTACGTAAATATTAAATAATAATAAACATTTAAAAGCAATTTAAAATATTAAATACATAACCTTAATAATCACATGCCTAAAATCAAAAGTGGTAACCTCCTACAAACCAAACCATGGTTATACCCACGGTCTTAGAAGGTCGGACAACTCTATTTTAACCACGGACTACTTTTATAGGCGGGTTTCCACTATATACACGATTGCCGTGTACAGTGTACACGAAAAATGTGCAGCTATAATGTCCAACAACACGGTATCATGGTTAATCGTGTGGTAACTGATTCTAACCAACCAATCACAACAAAGGATATATTAGGTATATCTTAGTAGTCCATGATGGAAACAGATATTTTATGGAACAAAACTCAAAAGTCCAATGGAACAAGGTCTGTTGAAATAACTTTTTTGTGGAATATAGTTTTTTGGAACAAATTACTTGCCCAACCACCTCAGTGAGTACCAGTCTGCAGTAGGTACATCGTGCATTATACTATTATAGGACGTGTCGTGTTTGTCACTGTAATGGATATGTTAAATTTGAATTTAATAATATTATCATATAATTGTACTTGTATATTTGCGGTGTTGGGGAAGTTACTTATTTTTGGTAATTAAATTACATTGCTAATTAGTTATCAAAATTGTAGCTAAATTATTTTTAAGTTACTTTTTTTTTAATTTGGTTAAGTTACATTACTTTTGAGTTTAAAAAGTAACTGAATTACAATAGAAGTTACTTTTTTTTTCAAGAATTTTATCACGAGCTTAATAATCTTGTTGTCAATATAAGAATACATAAACTAAATAGGTAAATAGGTAATGACAATCAAAAATATGGAATTATTAACAGATGACACTCTTTTTGCAACACTATTATTATTATGTTTTTTCATTGAACTTAAGCCCGGAAACTATGGTCATTAGCTGTTGTAGGGGATTATGAACTGTGTTTGGTAAGGTGTTGTACAGTTTTTACGGTTGTTACGGTATCTATGCAAACACGTATTAGTTTTTTACTATGTACTACGAATCCGGGTGGTCACCCATCCGGGAACTAGTAGCAGCGGGCTTAAGTTACTATCAGTCGTACTGCCAACCAAACTGCATTATGAAATTCTCAACTTCATTAACATTATTAATATTGGCTCTAAGAAAACAACACAAACAACTAAAATATCGTTGCCATGTACGTGAATGTTTCAAAAATCTACAATTCATATCTGTGTCACATAGTTACCACTTGTCAATATTCATTTCTTGTCCGTCTTGTGTTCATTACGGATAAATTTCATTCCTATACCTATTTCTGTATAATCTTCTCCGTTAATTGTGCCTATATAATATTTTCAAATAAATATGTCATATAGATGTGTATCTATGCCTAACATGGCTGCGATGTGTGAAAATTCCTCAGCCAAATCGACAGATATTGGATGGCGATCAACGCCAAATCTCAAGTTTAACCGTACCAATGATATACGAAGACCGGAACCGTCGAAAAATTGTGATTCCGAGGGTTTTCTGGACGGCAGGTTCTGTGTATCTGAGCCGAACATTCTCATACATCCAAAATTAGCTGGCAAGACAGCTGCAGATATTGGGTGGCGATCAACGCCAAATCTGAAATTTCAGCAGGTCACCAGCGATGTACGAAAACTGGAATCGTCGAAAAATTTTGATTCCAAAGGTTTTCTGGACGGCAGGCTCTGTGTATCTGAGCCAAACATCCCCGTACATCCAAAATTAGCTGGCGAGACAGCTGCAGATATTGGGTGGCGATCAACGCCAAATCTGAAGTTTCAGCAGGTCACCAGCGATGTACGGAAACCGGAAAGTCCGAGACACACACGTCCTCGTCGTTCATTTTGGCGCCAGACAAAGAAATTTGTCAGGCTGTTCCTTTGTTGTTGTGGTTCTGTTGACAAGAAAGACCAGTAATATGTATATTATAGAGTTTAAAAGGTTTTTAAACATCCCCTCCTCTCTTACCGTTATCTCAATTTGTGTTCGCTGGTACTATTCTGAAACCGTTTGGCGTTTATCATGTCCTCCATTGTCATTTGTACCAAGTTAGTGTAGGTTTGCCTCACGTATTTCATGCACCGTACGTCTGTACCATCGTCGGCTCTTCGCCACCTGTTTTGTTCTGTATTAAATTAATATTATTAATATCATTACGTTACTCATATTAAACGTATTATTATAAAGTATGTACTATGTATATTAACCTATGCCAGTGGCGTACCCAGGATTTTAGAACTGTGGGTCTGCCTTACTTACGAGGGGCCACTGTGTAGAAACTTCAACCAACTATATAGTTAGGTATTACAAAGTCACTCTGTTCTCGCGATTTACCTTATTAGTTATTTACATCACATTTTGATACCAACGTTCAATATAACTATATCAAATATTTTTAAGTAAATTGTAAAATTTACTTACAAGCTTTAATAGCTATATTTAATTTATTTTTATTTGTTGCATTAAAATTTATATTCAATTAAAAAATTTACCTGACATATTTAAATCATTAGAAGAAATTATTCAAATTTATTATTTTATTTGTATACGTATATTTGCAGTATATTTATTTTATTTTAGTTTTCAATGACTGATTTTATTTTCACAAGAGATATAGAATAGGTGGTTCTAAATTCTAATACAATAGAAAAGTCAAAAATAATACATTAATAAAATTTATATTTAATAATACCTACATGAAAATAATAGTAAAGAACTAGAACATTACAATCATTTTCTGCGCTTTTTCATTAGTGCGAATTATGTACTTATTACGTTAACAAAATCAATGGTTTGAGCTATGTTGCTTTCTATGCTCAATATGGCCAAATTTGATAGCCGGTCTTCAGTCATAGTTGAGCTAAGGCATGTTTTGAGAAGTTTTAGAACACTAAAACTTCTTTCTGCAGTTGCACTGCTGACTGGTAGCGTATAAAAAATTTTATACAAAGTATATAAATTTGGATATGAAAAAACCATGTATCGTGATATCATGAATTTTCAATACATCATTTAATTTTAAAGGTCCAGTTACTCCAGTTTCAATAGTTTTGCCATTTGTTGGTAAACTAGATGTAATGAACGGTATTCCACTTCTATATCAATTTCATCTATGTCAACTTCATAAAATCTTATATAATATCTATATCCAACATATTTTAGATTCTGAGCGGAGCGAAGAATGTATTGGTTTTACAATGATGTGTGTTTTTTTTATATTTTTATATTTTTATATTTTTATATTTTTTTTTGTGTCTGTCATCACGATTTGGGACAGTAAAAGTGCTTCGATTTTCTTCAATAGTACCTTTTCTGATAGGAAAGTGAATCTAGTTGGTACTTTGGGGGGTCAAAAGTAAACATTTCACAGTAGTTTTCACAAGCGCCGGGAAAAATAACATAAAAATTAAGGAAAAACGGGAATTTTTACGCAAAATTGGTTTTCCAAAAAATCGATTTTGGTTATTGGTGTAACTCTAAAACAAATGAACGTATATACATGAAATTTTCACTGGTTGTTAATATTTGAATTTTCTATACACGATAACATTTTCAAAATATTTTGATTTATTTTGAACTGTTTAGGGACATTTTTATTTTCCATTTTTTTTTAGTTTTTTTTCTAAAAATATCAATAAAATTTTATTTGTTGGTTGCGAAAGCTTGAAAATTTAATAGAAGGCTCCTAATATGTTGTTTCAAAGGCAGATGAAAAATATTAAAAATCCTTAGTCACAATTTTTTTTTATAAGCATTTAAAGTTCAAAAATTGACAAAATATGGAAAAATCACGAAAATTAGCAAATTATTTTGAGTTAAGAATTCGTAAAAATTTTTCTTTTTAAATCTAAGATTTGAAAATGAAACACAAGATTCCTTATAAGATTATCTACCTTTATCAATAAAAAAATCTCTACCGGACAGTCAAATTAAATTTTTATGAGCGTTTGAAATTCAAATTTTTACAACATTGGATTTTCACTCGATTTCTCATGTAGCGATTTCCTTATTTTGTTGTAATTCAAAAACGAATAACTGTAGATGCATGAAAATTTCACTGAATGTTTATATTAGCATTTCCTATACACCATACAATTTTGAAAATATTTTGACTCTTTTTGAGCTGTTTATGGACATTTACAGCTTTCAATTTTTTTTAGTTTTTTTTTCTATAAATATCAATAAAGTTTTATCTGTTGGGCCAAAAAGTGTAAAAATGTAATACAAGGCTCCTGATATATTATTACAATAGCAGTTGAAAAATATTAAAAATACATAGGCACAGTTTTTTTTTATAAGCATTTAAAGATCAAATTTTGACAAAATTTATCAAAATCTCGAAAATTATCAATCATTGTAATTAATAAATTATAAAATGTTCAGTTTTTATAGCTAAGGATTGCAAATTCAACACAAAGGTTCTCGTAAATAGTTCATACTGTAACCAAAAAATCTAAAAAATATATGAACACACTTATTTTTTACAGACATTTTAAATTCAAATTTGGACGAAATTACATATTAAAAAACCTAGAATAACTATTTTAGTTATTTTGTTGTGATTGAATAATATTATTCGTGGGTACTTGAAACTTCTAAAGTGTACTATTATATATTTATATATCTATGATAGTATCACGGTTTTTGTTGATGTATAACGTGTTATAAGTATCTAATGGATATTGTGATATGATTAATTTGGAATTTATTATAGGTACCTATTATAGGTCAATTTTTTGTTTAATACCATAGATATGTATATAATATGTCTTATACATAGACTGACATACCGTCACCGCTCAGAATCGTTTTTCTTATACAATGATATTATATCATTGAATTCAAATTTAATACCATCCATTATACAGTGACCCACTTGTAACCTACTGTACAGCAGAGCGACACCCACTTGCCCA